ACAAGGTGCGTTCCTATAAGTCTTCCTACCAATATGACCAAGTTGCGAAAACAAGGTCAAACAACTTGTAACTCTTGCTTATTCAAAAAAAAATCAGCTTTCGTATGAATTTCATAAGTAACTCAACTGTACACATCCCTTTTTATGACCAAATAGAAATGCATTAGTATACAATTCCTAGGATTTTGTTTTTATACCACTAAATCCAAATAAGCAGATTCTCTGCCATCGCAAATGTCAAGAACTTACATAAGTTAATCCTATGGCCTTTTATAGAATTTACTCATTTATTATGATAAAATGACGTCAAAACCTTGCGCGCATCGCATATTTACAAGTATGATTTCTTTAGGTCATCAACAATTATCAATTATGCCTATTTTCACCTTTCTTTTGAAGTATTACTGAAACTTGCTTTTGCGATATAGCTTGAGTGTGCTCTTGCAGTATTCGCAAAATTTCGTGTAGCGTAAAGACAACTTTTTATTAGCGAACAAAGACAAACTAGCACATCCCCATCAATTAAATGTGGTTTTTGCTAATTCTAGCGGGCGACCACTTTCTTAAAAATCTATATTCTTCACCTACATTTTATTTCTTTTTTTGGTTCTTTCCTTTCTGAATACTCTACGCTCTTTTGACAGCAGAATTTTAAGAATCAATTTATCATGGAAATGATAAATTCTTCTTTAACATTTAAACCAACCCTTAATGAAATTTTACCTATACAAAATAATTATTTAAGCAAACTGTAAGCACCCACCATAATGAACTTTCCGATTTTCTGATATGCATGCTATTTCATTACATAAGACCCTTTAGTCACATACGTTCTCTTAATCTAAAAAAGGCTTAATTCAGAACCAGCGTGTTTTGTATTTCTACGTATAGTTTGTTAGGATCAATTTATGGGCACATTTAAAAAGTTCAGGCTGAAAAATGTCCCTCATATAACAGACAAAAGTTTTGCCCGCTTTTTCCTCGAATCGAAAGGTATTGACTCCTCGACTGTCAACCACAGAGTTCCAGTAAACCCAACCGACATCTGGACAAAAGGAATATACCATCATCTTCTTGTAGGCTAGATCTTAGAACTTCTTTCTTACACACTTTCAATAGAAATTAAAGTGAACTCATCAATTAATTCAAACTGGCTGACATTTTTTCAAATATATTTATTTACCATTTTATATTATTTAAGCACCGAATTTCATGACATTTCGCATTGCTTATTTTGTTTTGAAAAATTGGTTATACGAATGCGAGTTTTCTTTCCTATTTACGAACTCTAATTTTTATTCTATTATTATCCTCTTTTACTTATTCTCTGTTTTACCAGAACAGTTTGCTTCGTCAATAATCGTAGCATCTCACTGCTTATAAAAGATTTCAACCATAGTTCTAATTAATCAAACTGCATTACTTTTTTAATTTGTCCTAGGTTCCAATTCCTTTTGCCAAATTAAATTTTCCTCTTGGTAGGCCTCTGACAATTTTTCAAAAACAGTTAAATACCCTTTCAAAATATAAAATATTTGTTATTCTTCATTCGGTGGCCAAAATTATGTTTAGGACTGGATACCTTGCGCCCAGGTGAAAAGATGGACCTTTTACGTAACCACTCTCCAGAAGAGGAGATTAACATCTTCGAGCTTTGTTTAACCAGCAGACTCAATGAGCTCTACAAGGCAATTGGCGCTGGCTGGCTTGGGGACAACTTTGCTTCCAGCACCTCAGGGACGAATTCAAATTCATCAACTGTTTCATCTACTTCCGTTGTTAACACCGCTCCTTCCTCCACCCAATTAACAGCAGCTACCTCCGTTAACTGCCCCTCGGTTTCTGGGCCTTCTAATGCGATAGAACGAGGGCTAAGTTTTTCTCTTAGCTTCTTTGGTAGCAACACAAATATCGTTTCTACTAGTCAGTCGCCGATGCTTTCACGAGTATCTTCTGCTACTTCTTCGGCCACAGTAATGAGCCCTTCGATTTACCCCATATGTGCTCCTCAATCTGAATCAGCGGGACTGATATCTTCGAACCCGACAGCGGCCGCATTTTGGCTGGCATCAGCTACTGCTTCAACTGCAGGCATAACTCGGGACCAAGTTGGACAAGCCATTGTCACGGCGCTCGTTAGTGTACATCGTTATTTTGCAGCATCCTCAAATTCAGATTCATTACGCAACGGTGGAGCTTCCAGTTATGGAATCGGAGCAGGAACAGGCCGGAGTGCATTGGTTGCCTCTGTTATTGAGCCAGGTCTACATTCCTGTGACGGGTTGGTCAGTGGCCTTGGCCAGTCTATCCGACGCAGTCTTATCATGCGGTATGCCAAGTGAAAAATAGCTGTTTTTGCCTTGTGATACTGAAATAGTCATGCACATATATCGATATAGTATTAGATAAATTAGCAAAATAATGCCACTAGTAATGGTTGTGATTCTATTTTAAGCAGTTAAGGAGACCTTGTGGAACGTGCCTAGTCCTGTGTCCTCTGCTATAGTATTCGTGGTTTCCAGTATTGGACCAGTGGCTGGGTACACTGCTGAAAATTACGAATACAATGACAGAGGACACGGGACTAGGTACGTTCCACAAGGTCTTTCTGACGCTTCGATCAAGTTGCGAAAACATGATCGAACCAACACTATAAAAATAAAGGAGACTTCGACCAAGCAGAAGGCCAAACTATCTTGGTCTTGATATCTACGATCTTAGTGCTAGACATACAAATTTATTTTATCGCTTGAGCATAGAGCTGAAATTCATCTTACTTTGTAATACAAGGCAAAATCACATGAAATAATTCATATGAAACTTTCTTTATGACTTTGCATGATATAAGAGATATGTTTAGTGTTCTTGATTATCTAGAAGTTGTTTGACCTTGTTTTCGCAATTTGGTCATATTAGTAGGAAGACTTAGAGGAGCGCACCTAGTCTGGAGTCCATTGTATGCATGATAATTTCCAAAGTCAGATCCTGGACGTGGTATATTCACATACGTTTCGCCGGCATCGTCAGTAAGTCTTGCCATTCTTAGCACCACACTACAACTCATCAAAGAGACAAGTGAAGCCGATCCATTAACATAATACAATGAAAGGAGACTGTAACCACACAAAAGGCTACACCATCTTGGTCTTCATATCTTTGATTATTTAAAGTTTCAAGTAAACCGTGAAAAATGTAGTTGATATGAAGACTAAGAAGTTGTGGCATCTTGTTTGGTCGCACTCCTTCGATGTATATAACTGGTCTGACCTCGTGTTCATAGCTTAGCCATGCTGTCAGAGGGACTTATTTTGACGTACCTTTTCCGCAGTCCACTGCTGCAGTAGTTATCATAATTCCTAGCTTTGTACCGCTGAGTTGGTATATTCCCAGTTGTGATGATGCCATACTAAGCTCGCCAAAATAGCACACTTATGGAGGAGTCGAATATAAACAAGTCAGAAGTTGTAGATGTTGTAGACAGAAAGATGAGTGACAGCACGAACATTCGACAGAAAGTTGGTCAAGAGATTGACTTTATTTTAATCTTTGAAGAGTTTTAGCCTGGGTCTAAATGGCAAGATTATCTGACGATGTCGGCGAAACGTCTGTGTTCTTCTGTCAAACGCTAGGAACTATATTTATGTAGCAGACGACTTCGGAAAAGGTGCATCCAACTAGGTCTCCCTGACTATATAACCAAGTTGAAACACATCTTGAAGACTATGGACTCAAAATAATTCATATAATCTGTGACATCTGTCATTAATTAATGGTAAATATTCTAGTTTTTCTCACTAGAATTTGATGTGATTCTGAAATTTTAACCTGAATACTTTCCATCAAACCTCACTATTTGAGAATTAATTCGATAATTTATCTAAATTTAATTTTAACCCGTTCACAATCATCTTATTTATTGTATGCATAATAGATTATTCAACTTTACGACAAGAGCAATAAATCTTTCATCAAATATTGTGCTCTTGAACCCTTCATTTATAAATTTCGCCGCCACCATTATCCTT